AATCGAACGCATTTGCAATTTATAAATGTGCGGCCAACTTTTCCGCACACCAAGCAAAAGAAGTTCGTGGGTGCTATTGCTAAAAGAGAGAGAGACGAAACGTAATAGAAATGAATGGCGATGTTAGCTGCAAACTAACCGATTCCGCAAATCAACATGTTGGATTCATATGAGTGTCGTTAATATTCGAATAGAATAGAATAATTACTCTTATACTTTTTCCACTATGTAAATCTCTGTTACTCATATTACAAGCATGAGCACACGCACATTATTTTGTTCATTTTTCTGTAGTGTACAACTAATGACTGAAATTTGTTAACACATTTGTTTAAAGGGGAAAGACGCAATTTAATTTGAAATGTTCTGCGATGTGAGCTGCAAACATATTGGCATATCTAACAACTATATCAGCTAAGAGAAGAAAATTGTTTGAGTTTTCATAAACAATTCTGTTTAATTGCAGGGTTCAGAAAAACACTGTGCTGTGCACAAAAATGCAAAGCACCACGCACAAATGTTGTGCGGTTCTAAATAAAAAATGTGTGCGAAAATTTTTGTGTACATCTTAAGTGCACATCTTGTGTGCACAAATGAAACACATTTCACACGTATGTGGTGGAGTGAAATAAAACTCGCACACACATTCGGTGTTTGTGCCGAAGTTATTTCGTGTGTGAGGCAGCTAGCTTGCCCTCGCATACAACGTGAACAGAAAAGAATACGAGGAGCACATTTTGTGTGTGTAAAATGATGATTTAAAAGCGCACAATATTACGATGAATAACGTAACAAAATACTATGAAAGACTGATTTGCATTAATTTTCGTCTTAAGGCGAAATTTTTTATTGAAAAAATGGTTTTCTATTTATATTTTACTTTTGAATTTGCATTTATTTACATTTATTGCTTATATTACTTATTATTTTAAGATTTATTAATTTAAAACATGGGAATAAAGTAAATTTCACAATGTACTTGAAAACTTTGTTATAATATAATATATAAATAGTTTATAATATATGAGTTAAATAGGTACATGAATTTAATAGAGAAGGAGTATTTGTTTTGAAATGTTATAAGTAAAGAGGATCGGTTCTACGGATCTTACTTTGAAAATATTAAATATATCAATATTGGACTACTTCATAAAATTTTATTTATCACTTAATCATCACTTAAAAATTAAAATAAACACTATAGAGTATAGCTTTTATCCTTTAAGGTGTAAGTGATTAACACGACTGAGGTTTAGTTTGTTTGTTTTTTATTTAAGAGTATCACTTAATAGTATTTTACCTATTCTGTTATTAGTATTTGTTAACAAGTCAACGAACTATATGATAGACTTGCATTTATTTCTTAACCGAAAACAATGCCAAGGCTGACCGGTTCGTTGACTTCTTCTTTCGTAACAATGCAGTTGTTACGTTGTTTTAGAACCTTTTTCACATTTAATTATTATTATTTTTTGGAATTGATTTTGCATTTCAATTTACCAATTATATTATTTTTGTGTGATTTGCAATTTATAATTTATTTTAATTATTAATTTTGCTATTTTATTATTATTATTTTTTGTGTAAATTGCAATTTATAATTGATTTATTTTAATTATTGATTTTGCATTGTTAATTTATTGTATATCGGCAATTTACTGATATTTTTTTTTTGGTGACGCCTAGTGTAAAGGATTGACTGCGTAATTTGTCGCGTATTCGCGTTTAAAAACTCGCTAATAAAAAATAATAAGCCGTTTCGCTCAATAAACTCGTTTCGCTCTTGTTTTCTATACTTAAACAATGGATGACATCGAGAAAATCGTGCAAGCTCAGAGGACGCTTGCAACTGAGATCGAAGTAATTATCAGGAATTACAAATATGACTCAAGCGATAGGAAGTAGACGCCGGCATGTTTTGAAAAACGACTTCAAGATCTCAAGAAGGCATGGAAACAATTCGAAATCAATGATGATACCCTCCAAGAAGAATATTTGGAAGACAAGTCGCATGAATACTTCACTTAGAATTTCTTTGACCAGGTATTGAAAATTTGGGAACAATACGAAGCCACTTTCAGAGAACAAATAACATTGTTGTCAAACGCAACCTCATTCGCCACTAATAAGAATGCAGAAGCACAAGTAATAGTTACAAAAAACAGCTCATGTGATTCCAATAAAGTATCTCTAATGATGCGACGCCAACAAGAGTTTGGCAAAACTATAAAACGTCAACTAATTGACGCTAATATCACCACGGACATGCCTTTAGCACGTAAGGTACTGTTGAAAGATTCTATTCTTCGCTTATGGGCCCGTTTTGAGGAACTCCATTACAGCATTTGTGAATTAAAATCCAATCCAGCAACTGTTGGATATGATGAACAAGGGTTTATATCTTTAGAAAGAGAAGTCCAAAATACGCCCTTAAAGGTAGAAGAGTTGAAACTTGCTTCAACGTCTTCGCATACCTCATCATTAACATCTGCATCAATGCAGTTACCAGGAGTAATAATACCAAGGTTCAGTGGGAACTACTTGGAATGGAGGCAATTTCGCGATTTTTTTAATGAAGTGGTAAATAAACAATCACTTGAGAATTGTCCAAAAATAGAATAGAATAGAATAGAAATAAACAGGGTACTAGCTCCCACCGGAGTAGAGCACTGCGACCAGATTGATCTTTTGTGCCGTAACTGACCCTAATTGAACAGAAGACATTCCGCTTTCCGAATGAAGGCCAGAATGTCGTCCGTTGAGGACCTCCTAATGTCAGAAGGAGAGAGCAGCTCTCCTCCCAGTGATTTCCTCCTTGCCCAGATCAAGGCTGGGCAGTCACAGAGAATGTGACTCGTAGTCTCGTCTGCTTCTAAGCAGAGTCGACACTCCATCTCTTCGGACAGACCTATTTTGTTAAGGTGATAACGCAGTCCATGGTGACCCGTTAAATATCCCACCAGCAACCTCAAATCTGATCTGCTGAGGTGGGATGCCTTGCCATAACTACATGGATGAACCAGCTGTTTTGCCTGACGGTTACCTCGATTGTCACTCCAGTAGCGACCTCTCTCGGCTGAGATCCATTTATCAATTAGATAACTAGTTGTAGACCAACTTAGTCCACAATAGGGTTCTGGTCCACAGATTTTAGTTACAGAACCTACCCTTGCAAGGCTGTCGGCAGATTCATTTCCTTTTATACCTGTGTGACCAGGCACCCAGCAAAGCGTCACCTTATTTCTGCTTGCCAGCTGCTGCAACATATCAAAGCAGTCTAATGAAAGTTTTGAGAAAAACCTCCAGGTGGATAGGGCTTTGATTGTTGCTTGACTATCTGAGTAAATACAGATGCGGGCGCCTTTCAACCCGTTGTTTAAGTTGATACGAGCGCAGACCTCGATGGCGTGAACCTCTGCTTGGAAGACAGTGGGCCATATACCCAGCGCTAGCGAGATTCTGGTGTTAGGATCAAATATTCCAGCACCAACACCTTCCGTGGTTTTTGAACCATCGGTAAACCATGATATCACTTCTGGTTCTGCTCCAGGGGTGCCATTTACCCAATCCAATCGATCGGGAATGAGGACTTCGAACTTTCTACCGAAGCGAAGTTCCATGTTCATGCGATCTGTCCTATCGCAGATCTCTATGCCAGGAACCAGTCTGCAGATAGAGTTTTGACTGTCAAAACTTCCGTGTATATTGATACCAGAGTGTAGCCTAGCTTCACTCAGGGCTGCCGTCTTTTTAATGAAGAGGTGCAGAGTGGTAAAACCCACTATGGACTCCACTGCTGATGTGGGACATGTTCTGATAGTTCCCGTTATAGCGATACATGCGAGTCTTTGCAGTTTATTGCATTTGAGTATTGCAGCTTTTTGTTGTGCCTTATTCCACCAAACAAGAGCTGCATAGGATACAATGGGTCTGACCATTATACGGTAGATCCATGAGAGAATTCTGGGACTAAGGCCCCAGGTCCTACCATATGTGTTCCTGCATGTCCACATTACCCTTGTGGCTTTGCCAATTACATTATCCAGGTGAGTGTTCCAGTTAAGACGCTTTTCTAGGGTGATTCCTAGATATTTACCTTCGTCGGAACATTCAATAGCCGTATCTTTTATAGATAGGGACCCTAAATTCAGTTTGTACCTTCTGGAAAATGGTACAATTACTGCTTTTTTTGGGTTAATACTTAGGCCTTCTTTTATACACCAGCTCGAAACTTTGTGTAAGGCCGCCTGCATTACGTCAGTAACTGTGGCCTCATATTTACCGCAAACTATGATTGCCAAGTCATCTGCATAACCTATGGTATGGTAGCCAGATTGTTCCAGTTTGACTAGTAGATCGTCTACTACCAACGTCCATAACAATGGTGAGAGAACCCCACCCTGGGGGCATCCCCGTACGGCACTAATGCTAACGGTGGTATTACCTAACTTGGTAGATATGTTCCTGTCACGTAACATCCTATCTATCCACGTTATTGTACAGGAGTCTATATCTTTCCGGGCCAATGTACTGGATATGGACTCATAAGATGTATTGTCAAAAGCACCTTCTACATCCAGAAATGCACATAAGGCAATTTCTTTAGATTGAAAGGTGCTTTGAATTTTGCTGACCAAGTGATACAGCGCGACCTCCGTAGATTTGCCTTTTGAGTAGGCATATTGTGTGGGGTGGAGAGGAACCGTTTGTCCCATTTTTTCCCGTATGTGCAGATCAATTAGCCTTTCGACAGTTTTCAGTAAGAAGAAAGTAAGACTAATTGGTCTGTAGGACTTTGGCTGGTCCATGGGTTTATTACCCAATTTGGGAATAAAGATCACATTTACACCTCTCCAGGAGTGAGGGATGTAACCCATAATGAAACATGCCCTAAAGAGTTTGATTAATGGGTCTAGAATGATATCAGTACAATTCTGCAATAAAGCAGGAAAGATACCGTCACCACCAGGCGCCTTGAATGGTAGGAATGAGCTGATCGCTCATTTCACCTTGTCCTTGTCAAAGATAACACCAGAAAGTGCGTCTTCCTGACGTGTAGGAGCAGTTACTTCTCTGTTTGATTTTGATGTTGATGCTCCGATTAAAGAGCCAGGGAAGTGTGTTTGCAACAGAAACTCAAGGGTATCTTCACGGCCAGTGGTGAAGGATCCATCGGGTTTTTTTAGAAGGCCTACTTCGTTATTTTTGACCTTAGTTAATGCCTTGTGTAGTCTGGCAGCCTCGGGCAGCTTCTCAATACTTTCACAGTGGCTTCGCCAGCTAGTCCGTTTGGACTGTCTGATTGATTTATTGTAGTCAGTGAGTGCAATTTTATATTCTTCCCAAGTACCTGAGCGTTTTGCTCTATTGAATAAGCTCCTTACTAATTTGCGCTTATTAGCTAGTTGCGAGTTCCACCAAGAAACCTTACCCAAAATTGTAGCATTGCCTGCAACCGTGCTGTTATGAAAGGAGGTTAGTAATACCTCACCTAAGTGGTTAGCGGCTAACTCTAACTCTTCTACAGTTTGTAAAGGCCGAGCTATGGAAAAGTTTGCGGAACACACTAAGTCCCTGTACCTGTGCCAATCGGTTTTTCTGGGTCGGTAAACTTTTTCTTGCTGTGCGGATATACCGGGAATTTCAAACCTAATATGTTGATGGTCAGAGAGGGACACTTCGTCCGACACATGCCAATTCCATGTAGATTCCTCAATACCTCTGGTGCATAGAGTGAGATCTAGTACCTTTTCTCTAATTGCGTTAATAAATGTGGGTTTATTACCTTTGTTAGCTATATTCAAACCTGCTGATATGATATATTCTAATAGGTACTCACCCCTTTTGTTAATATCGCTGCTCCCCCACACCGTATGGTGAGCTTTTGCATCGCAGCCCAAGATTAGCTGCCGCCCAATGGACCTGCAGAAGCTAATCAGCTGCTGGACTTCCGTTGGTGGAACTGCATTTTCATCACCTGGGAAGTAGGCAGAGGCCACGACAATGTCTGTCACCCCTCCTAATGTTGGAACTTCGACAAGGACCGCTGTTAGGTCTCTAGAAATAAAGTTATTTAACGGAAGATGTTTTACGTCTCCACCGATTAAGATAGATTGTCCAAAAATGTTTTATCTAAAATCGAATATGGACGGAGAAGCAGCACGTCTAATTGCTCATTTTACAGTATCTGAGGATAATTTTAGTAGTGCCTGGAGTTTACTTTGCCAACGCTACGACAATAAACGGCTTCTTGTGAATGCCTTTATTGCAAAACTTATTTCTCAACAAATTATAACATCTGATAGCTCTGACGCTATCAAACGACTCCATGATACAACTTCTGAGTGTATTCTTGGACTTAAAAATCTTGAAATTAACATCGAAAACTGGGATCCAATATTACTTTTCATTTTGACGAAGAAATTGGATCCAATAACATACAGCTTGTATGAACAGATCCTTCGTGAAGGATCCACGAAGAATTCAACATTTAAGTGAATTTCTGGAGTTTTTAGAACTTCGCTTCCAAGCATTAGAGGCAATTGGAGGTAAGAACATTAACAAGGCGTGTTTAAATACTACGAATGGAATGTTAAAATGTTTAGCATGCAAGGGAGATCATAAAACTTCCACTTGTAAAAATTACTTGAAAAATCCTCCGGAAATCCGCAGTAATATGATTCTCAGTGCCAAACGTTGCGTAAATTGCTTGCTCTCGGGCCATTTTTCAACAAAATGCACATCTCAGGGTTGTTTGAAATGCAAAAGAAGGCATCATACAACTTTACATGAACTTTATGCTGCCAACGGCAAGTCTCAGGTCACTGCTGATTCATCGCGAAATAACGATTCACACCAATCACGTGGCCATGCAGCAGCTACGCTTATAACAAGTAGACCCGCAGAGTTGCAGAAATCTTATGGTTTACTAGGAACTGTAGTAATGACGGTTCTGAATTCTTAGAGCGTGGAATGCAAGATGCGTGCATTACTGGATTCAGGCTTACAAGTGAACCTTATAACAGAACGAGCAGCACGAAAACTTGGGCTAACTCAATTATCAAGCTCGCTGAATCTTAGTGGCGTCGGTCAGAAAAACAAGTGCTCAAAAAAAGAGTCTACGTACTTATATCATCTAGTGTAACCAACTACAAAACTGAAATAGAAGCTTATATGTTGCCAACAATAGTTGCAAATAAGCCTGCAATTGAATTGGGTACATCAAATTGTGCTATATCAGAGGAGTTGTGTTGGCTAATGCCCAATTCAACAAACCAGGTCCAGTAGACATACTTATTGGCGTTGAACTATACAACGACATGGTTCTGCCAAGGAGAATTTCGTTAGGAAATAATTATTCAATGTTACAAAAAACTATGTTTGGATGGATGGTCAGTGGTCGTATTTCTGGGTCTTCTTCTTCTGCATCGATCTGCGATGTTCTTAGAAATAATGTAGAACTCGACCTGCACAAGTTTTGGGAACTAGAGGAGATACAGCAAGGTTCGTCGGATCAAACACTTGAAGAACAGCAATGCGAGGAACACTTTAATCGATCTGTGGCAAGATCAACTGATGGAAGATTCGTTGTGAAATTACCATTCAAAGGAGAAGACATTTCTTTAGGCTATTCGCAAAGATTAACACAGCAACGTTTTTTCGCTGTAGAAAAACGTCTCAACGGAGACCCTAAATTCAAAACAAAATACAATAAATTTATGGAAGAGTACATCAACCTGGGGAATATGAGTGAGATCAACCGAGATGATATAATCCATCCATGTTATTTTTTACCTCACCATGGAGTTCTTCGACTAGAGAACTTTTCGATTATATAAATTCGTTTTCACGGCCGATATTGAGAAAATGTATCGCCAAATTATGATGGACCAAGATGACCGTCGATTCCAACTAATTTTATGCAGAAACCAGGACAATGAGCCTCTTCGAACTTATCAACTTAATACCGTAACTTATGGGACATCGTCAGTACCGTATCTTGCCACAAAATGCTTGCAACGGTTGGCTCAAATTGAAGAAAGTGGGCACCCGACAGCTGCAGCTATCGTCAAAAGAGATTTTTGCGTAAATGACGTCATGACAGGGTTCAACAGTATGTCTGAAGCATTACATGCACGAAACGAACTTATAAAACTATTGCACAAGGGTGGCTTTAAGCTTCGCAAATGGTGCGGCAATCATCCAAAACTAATTGATAGGTTGCACCCATCCGACATAGCTGTACAACTAGACTTCAACACGATGGAATACGGTCACATTAAGACATTGAAGCAAGTGTGAATCCCAACAACAGATGATTTTAAGATACAAATTACAAAAACGAACACGTCAAATATGTTAAATGAAGTATATCATCCGACATTTCTAGGATTTTCGATCCGCTTGGGCTCGTTAGTCCAGTCACAGTAGAAGCTTAATTATTTTTGCAACACTTGTGGACGCTGAAACTTGATTGGGACGAAGAATTGTCAAACGAGCTAACTTGTCAATGAGTGCGTTTCATGGAAAGTTTAAGGTGTCTCAACAACATAAAGCAGCCACGTCATCTTTTTGGAAACGAGATTCCAAAATCAACGCAAATACATGCTTTCGCCGATGCTTCAGAACGAGCTTACGGTGGAGTAATTTATCTACGTTCCATTACGCAGCACGGACAAGTGATTGTCCGCCTCCTTTGCACTAAATCGAGATTAGCCCCAATTAAGAAATTAACAACCCTAAAGTTAGAACTATGCGCCGCTCTACTAACAGCACAATTATTAGCTAAGGTAAACAATTGCATGGAGTTGACAGATACCACAACACATTTATGGACAGACTCGGAAATTGTGCTAGCATGGATCAACTCATCGGCAGCCTCCTACTAAGCATTCGTGGCAAATAGGGTTACAAAAATTCTCGAAAATATCAACAAGGGACAGTGGCGACATGTTAGATCTAAGGATAATTCTGCCGACATACTATCGCGTGGCATCATTGGAACAAAGCGTATGTCACTTATCCAGTGTAGAATTGACACGTGCTTGTCAAGGGATTACCAGAAGAAACAAATTTACTTCGCAAGGGCTTAGAAGTCAGCAAAACTAGTACAATTAAGGGTTTGTCTCCATTCATTGATCAACAAGGTCTTCTAAGAGTTGGCGGACGGCTTCAATCTTTCTCATTTTCATTTGAGACGAAGCACCCAGTCTTGCTACTAGATTGTCCATTAACAAAACTCTTAATGCAAGAGACTCACGTTCGCAACAAACATATTGGACCACAAGGACTAATGACAGCAGTACTGGCCATTGAAAAGAAAGATGTCAGCAAGAACTATTATTCATAAATGCGTTATCTGCACTAAGGCAAAACCGACATTACTGAATCAAATCATGGGAAATTTGCCAACTGATCGCGTTGAACCAGCACGAGCATTTATAAACTCAGGAGCTGACTTTTGGGGTCCAATATGGACTCATTATCGTATTAGGTGAAAACGTCCAACAAAAAGCTACGTCGCCATATTTTGTTGCTTTGCAACAAAGGCTATACATATGGAGGTAATTACAGATCTTACAACTGACGCATTCATCATGGCATTAAAACGTTTCATTGGAAGAAGAGGGGTGCGCCGGAAAATATATTGTGACAATGCCACTAATTTCGTTGGAGCCAATAAGGAACTCGCTGAACTAAAAAATGCTGTGTTCGATGAAAGAAGCCAAGAAAAAATACAGGGTGTTTGCTGTTCGTACAATATCGATTTTAAGTTCATCCCACCACAAGCCCCACACTTCGGTGGATTGTGGGAAGCTGCCGTTAAGTCAGCAAAAAATCTATTTAAACGAAGTGCATCGAACGGCAGTGTTACATATGAAGAGTTAGAAACACTCATAATAGAAATCGAAGCGATTTGGAATTCGAAACCACTAACTCCGACGTCATCAGATGCTAACGACCTAACTGCCATAACTGCTGGGCATATCTTAATCGGTGATCCCCTCACTGCAACATGTTGACGCAAAGACTCTACACTTAAATTTAAAAAAAGATATGAGCGCATTATCAATATTAAAGAAGACTTCTGCCATAGATGGCGGTCAGAGTACTTAAGTGATTTACAGCATCGATCTCAATGTCAAAGTAAGTCAAATGGTTCTAATTCATGAAGATAATACACCGTCACTTCAGTGGCCGTTGGGAAGAGTAGTAGAAACCTTCATAGGCCCAAATGGAAAAATTCGTGTAGCTAATGTGCGTACCAAACATGGCATACTAAAACTGGCAATTCATTGATTAGCACTACTGCCGATCGATACAAGCGAACCAGTCGAGCAAAACACATCCGAAAAACCAATATGATTAAATGAAGCAACAACCGAGGCCCCTACGCCAAATGTCCAAGATAGTACCCCAAAAAAGCGGCGACGACTCAGCATAGGAAAGTTCTGCTAACAGCTTTAATGGCCTGTTTTGTGACTGCATTCCAATGCAGCCCAATCGTCGAACAATTTGCCAAACCTGGATTTTATTTCGAAAACATCGGAGCTACCAAAATCATATCAAGTCAGTGGAACATTGTAGTATACTACAATTTATCATCTTTTTGGAGTGCCTGGGATTCGATTAGGTCGACCACAGCAGCCCTTGATAACATTTGTCATCAAAGCGGCGGCCAATTTGCATGCGACAAACTTGCAACATTTTGTGACCACTGGCACAGCGACATTGAAATGGAAAATGGTCTACTCAGATCCCCTATTGCAAGACTAAAACGGGAACCAATAAATATTATTGGAAATGTAGCTAATTCCTTGTTTGGCGTATTAGACTCTGTTGGCGCAGGTGAAATCAAAAAACACGTCTTACCTTAAATAAGCTTTATTAGAAAAGAAGTAAAAATACAAAAAGTAAGAATACAAAAAGTAAGAAATAAGTTAAACATAACATGATGGGTTGCAATGTAAATAATGCAAAGTTGCATTCCTTAACAAATTGCATCTCAAACCATCAAGTTTGTTTAATATCAAAATCAAAAATTCATTTTTAACATATCTACTAATTTTAAATGTCTGTCAGCACAAAGACCTTTAGTAAAGATATCAGCAACATTTTCGCTTGATGAAATATATTGGACGTTTATTTCTCCTGTTATGTGTTTGTCTCGAATATAGTGATATTTTATGTCGACATGTTTACTTCTTTTATAAAGAGCGGGATTTTTCACAGCAAATAACGAACTTTGATTATCACTGAATATTGTTATTGCTTCGTTTTCTAAGTTTTTAAAACCTATTTCTCGCAATGGACCTCTGATGAAACACACCTCTTTGACTTCCAAACACATAGCTATATATTTGCCTCCATGGTGCTAAGTGTTACCACACTTTGTTTCCTCGATTCCCATGCTATGAGATTTTCACCGAGAAAAATTGTAAATCCACTATAAGAACGACGATCAGTAGTATCTGCAGCCCAATCGGCATCTGAAAAACAAACTAATCCCTGACTATTAAGTTTATAAGTTAATATACCCTTAGGGTTTGCTCGCAGATATCTGAGTACTCGTTTTGCAGGTATAAAGTGGTCTTGGTGGGGATACTTGATACTACGGCTTAATAATTCAAGCTCCCAATTAGTGATTGATACCTTTTAATATCTCCACCTGTGCAGTTTTCAACACAACATTTTTCCAACACTGTACCTTTAGCAAATGGGGTTTGCACTCCTTTGCAATCATGCATATTATTTGCTTTAAGAAGTTCCATCGTAAAATAATTATGATGTATTCTGATTTCGTCTAACTGTCTTTCTCTTGTGATTTCCATTCCCAAATAATTTTTAATAGGACCTCGACCTACTATTTCAACACAATGTTGTAGCTGCTGGAATGTTTTCTGCATTATTTTTTCACATGAACTAGCGAGAATAATATCATCAACATATATAGATATTAAAGATATTAGTGATTCCCCAATCATTCTGTAGATACAATTATCTGTTTTGCAACGTTTAAACCCAATAGAAGTCAAAATTGAATTAATCGTTTCATTCCAATTTTCATTTGTTTCAGTCCATAAATAGCTTTATTTAATTTACATACCTGATGTGGAGATTTTTCATTTATAAATCCATCAGGTTGCTTCATATAGACATCTTCTGCTAAATCTCCATTCAAGTAAGCTGATACTACATCGAAATGTTTTATAAATAGTTTGTACTGTACCGCAAGAGCTAATATTAAACGAAAAGAAGAATGCCCTTGCAAGTATCTGTGTAGTCTAACTCAAACTTCTTTGTGCATTCTTGTGTCACTAAGCGAGCCTTATATTTTTTTCCGGTTCCATCAGGATTATATTTGATTGTGAAAACCCATCTTGAACCTACATATTACTGCCCATGGGACGGTCTACTAAGGTCCAAGTGTTATTCTTAGTGACTGCGTTGTATTCCATTTGCATCGCAGCTTTCCATTTCATATGATCATCTGAATGTACTGCCTCTTGCAAAGATTTTGTAACTTCACATACTATATTAATGACGTCCGTTGTTTCATCGGCACTCACCTCTTTGGTGTTTTGTAAGCTTTGAATTCTATGTGCTTTAGGTCTTAATCTTTTCGAATTCCAAATGAGTTCTCCAGTTTTATTACTTAACACAGAACCTTCATTGTTGCTTTCTGAATCGTCACTGTCTGCACTTTCAAACGCGTTGTTTTCATATTCGATGTCTTTAAATTTATTCTCAGGATCTTGCTTTACATTTTTACGTTCAGCGACAAATTGGTCACATTTTTTATTTTTTTCAACCATTTTGTCCAGTAATTCGAACAATTCTTCATTGTCACTGTTTTCTTCGTTAAACACGGCCTTTGATTTTTGGTTTTCCAAAAATATTACATCACGAGCGATTACTAATTTCCAATTTTTAGGATTATATAATCTATATCCTTTTGAATTTGATGCGTAACCGACGAATACCATTTCTTCACCTTTAGATTCGAGCTTAGACTCTCTCTGACGTTTATTTAGTACGATAGCTTTGCAACCGAAAATTTTAAAATATTTGACACTTGGTTTTCTGTCGAACCAACATTCGTACGGAGTTTTATTATTTAATACTTTTGTCACAGACCGATTTCTAATATAAGCAGCAGTATTAATGGCCTCTGCCCAAAAATTTTTTGGTACGACAGTTGAATTCAAAAGACATCTTGCCATCTCCATCAGTGTTCTATTGATACGTTCCGCAACACCATTTTGTTAAGGAGTATAACTTACTGTGGTTTCGTGCACAATACCATGTTTATTGAGCAATTCATTAAAATCTTTATTTGCAAATTCTAAGCCATTATCGGTGCGTAAACGTTTTATTTTTTGACCTCTTTGTCTTTCTACAATATTCATGAATGATTCAAAAGACTTTAAAGCATCCGATTTTTTAGAAATAAAATCGACATGCAGGTATCTAGAAAAATCGTCCATAAATGTAATAAAATATTTTGCTCCACCATGAGATGATCTCCGTATTGGGCCACATATGTTGCTATGAAATAGCTGTAGTACCTTTGGCAACTGCAAAGTTTTCCATATTGCTTGGAAGACTGCATAATAGTAAGATAGATAGTAATTCCTTTTCAAGATATACACCTATCGCTGTTAATGAATCCGCAATGTTACAAAATTCATTTCACTGCGGTAAATATTTTTCCGAGCTGCTGAAGTTAAATTTGATTAGTCTTTTTAATAAAGAGACTTTTCTTGCGGGTCCACTCGCATTATACATGTTTCGTAAGACATTCCATGCCTCAAATGCCGTTTTACAGTTTTTTATGTGTAACAGTTCTGAACTTTGTATGCTTAAATTTATATAAGCAAGAGCTTTAGCGTCATTTCTTTCCCAGTCTTTCACACTGTCATCTTTTGGTGTACTTGTTACATCCCATAAATCCTGCGTTATTAATAAGGTCCTCATTTGAATGGACCATGGACCATAATTGTCCCCTTTAAGCTTCTCTACTGCCATGTGATTCATTATTGATTTTAATTTTATCAATTCACCTATCACCTTTCTAATACTGTCGACAAACGACTTTAGGTTTTATATTTACCTTTTTAATACTTTTAATTTCAACTCTAATTTCGAACACGTTGGCCCATAACCTATCTTGGCGCAGGTGAAATCAAAAAACAAGTCTTACCTTAAGTAAGCTTATAGAGAAGAAGTAAAAATACAAAAAGTAAGAATACAAAAAGTAAGAAATAAGTTAAACATAACATGATGGGTTGCAATGTAAATAATGCAAAGTTGCATTCCTTAACAGACTCAAATTATGAAACAGGGATGAAACACCATTTGAGCCAAATCTACGACAACGAAGAATACTTTAACAAATTGTTTAAAAACCACACATCAGTTTTGGACGCAACACTAAACATCTTGAAATAAACTCATGACGCCTCAAAACGGAAATTCACTGACTTAGATGCACAAATAAAGTTGATAACGTCAACCATCCATAATGTCAGTAATGCACTCGACAAAAGTGCATTATATCATACATTTACTTCATTGGCGTTGCAAGTAATAACGTTAACTCATAACTACCAAATGCAACAAGAGGCTTTAATAGACGCAATCACCGATGGTCATCATGGCAAGATTAATCCTCTACTCATATCCACTGATCAGTTTCGAAAGGAACTGCAAACCATTCAGACACACTTGTCGCAAAATCTACAACTTCCAATAGAAGATAACAGCATCTTGGAGTATTTTCGACTCATTGAACTCAAGCTGTTGAAGACGGATACACAGGTTGTGTTTTCGTTACTACTGCCATTAGTAGATTCTGAAACATTTGAATTGTTCCAATTAACACTAAGTCCAGCTGCAATAAATGGGACACTTGTCATCATTAAACCTTTAACAAGATTTATCGGAATAAATTTGCATAAGGAACAACTGTATCCTATGAATAAAAAGTTGGTCGGTTGTCATGAGGTCATGAGGTCAGCAA